AATGCCCTTTCCGAGACTCTTTTTCAGCCTAGTTTAAAACTTGGACAAAAGCTTCCATTGACTTTCTAAGCAATGAAGCTCAGCTCTTAATCACAGAATGGTCTGTGTTGAAAAGGATCTTAGAGATCATCCAGTTTCAATCCCTAACATGGGCACAGTTGCATATCTCCTTGGCCAGTGGGTGGCAATTCTGTCTGATGGACTTGTTAATGTTGTCCTGCATGGAAAACAAATAAACAATCTGTGTTATCTGAAGTTATAATAATGGAATTATTTTATTTTTCCTAATTGAATGAATATTGACCTGGACCGTGTAGTGCCACAGAGCCTTTCTCTCATTCAGGATTGTGTAACTCAGGGCATTTATCTGAGAATTTCAAACCTTCCTCCTAGAGGCAATGCCCGTCTGCTCTTTCTATTTTCTCTCTTGAAGTAAGCTCTGAAATAAGTGATGCTTTGAGATAAGTGATTCTGAAGTGTTGGCCAGTCCTATTAACCGTCTCCTTTTGCCAGTGATTTTCTGAGAAAACAAAGGATATGGAAATGAACATATTTCTGATCACCTTATAAGTGTATATGTTAAATATGTCCACACACAAATACATCTGTCATAATTCAAAACATTTTGTTGGTGGAGTATCATGTAACCACAGAATCATATAGTAATTCAGGCTGGAAGAAATCTCTGGCAGTCTCCAGTTCAATCACCTGCTAAAAGAAAGTCTAATTATATTGGGTTTTTCATGGCTATGTCTGGTCATGAAGAATTTTATGCTGGATGTTACGTTTGTTTCCCAAGGCTCACTGAAGAAGGCAGGATCTCTGCCTGCCATGTGTATGATGCACAGGGTGGCTTTGTTGCGTGCAGGATTGGGGGGCTCTGATCCCTCTTCTCCTAGGCAGATCAGGAGGGCTTCATGAGTAAGGGCATTGTGTGGGCTGCAGGTGGTGTTGGAAATGAAATGCGGTGCTGTTTTTCTCCCAGTCCAAGTGCAGAAAAAGAGAAGCAGGGTATCCCAGCCTCTTCAGCAGCAGTTTAGTTTCCTCTTTCAATATGACAGACTTGGTGTTCACCTCACTAGCATCTTTTAATTTTTTCCCCACAAATACTTTCCAGACGTAAATAGACTTAGTTTCTATTTTGTGTCAGAGCAAAGAACAGAATCAAAGCCCTGGCCAGGAGTTCATGATAGGCTCTGCAAGGGTTCATATGTGATTCAAACATGCTTAGCTCAAAGAACAACATCTTTATTGAAGCTAGTTTTATGAACACACAAACCAAGAATTTTCCTTCTGTGCCACATTGCTGAGATGTGGAACTGCACTGAGAACATTCAGGAGACTGTAATGAGACCTTTTCCATGGGGTAGATAGGGAGAGATGAAATATCAAGGCTTATAGGGAAACTCAGGTAGCAGACATCCTAGAGAACAGCCTGCAGATGTAACAATGGCAGTATTGGGCCCAGCCTCCCCTAGTAGTGTGTTTCCTGAGCCAAAAACCCAGCTCGCTCAAGTTACCTGCACTGAGAGATTGAGACTGGCAACCAGTTATGAAGAGGCAGACTTGGACTCCTCCAGGTTTGTTCACTCCAGCTCTAGCAGAGGTGAATCAGTCCCAGCTGTTTATTCAGTGTCTCACTCTGTACAGCTCTTTAGCACTGTGATGTAACATCCAAACAAATTCTGAGGCAGCCAGGCATAGCTCACCGTGCTGACTTATGGCTGCCGTGTTACAGCCAGCCTGTGTGTTCTTGAGATTAGATGGATCCAAGATCTCAACTAAATAAGCACTTCTGTACTCAGATTATTTCGGCAGAAAATCAGAGTTGTGCCTCTGCATCTGTAGCAAATGGGCAATAGGGGATTGGTCCTATTTAGGAGAAACTTACAATGAACCATGCATTCTAAATGAATTTGTTGTTGTTTTGAAAGTGTCTTGTTTAAAGATCTTTGTCATAACAAAAAGTACTTTGTCAGAACAAAAAGTTCTAAAGCTTCATTGTATTTAACTCCCAAGCTCTTATCCATTGGACATACTGTTTTCTGTGGAGAAATGTTTACTGTCTCCAATTCAGAACCTGTTCCAAGTAACATCTGTATTTTGGAATATCTTTCATGTGTGAACTAGCATTTAAAATTGTGTTACTGAACTTGGACTAAATGACCATCTTTGTATAGCTGTCAAAACAATGTCACAAGTGGTAAAGTGAGAAATTGTGGGAAGGATGCAAAAGCTGGTGTGAAAGTAGGATTCAGCTAGTGCCAGCTTCTTTGCATAGTTTAGATGTATGAGGCTCAGTTGAGACCTGGTTGTGAGCTACTGATAAGGTGTAGAGCTCTATCACAGCTAGAGCATGTAAATTGTGATTTTTGTACTTTGTTCAATCAGTAAGGGGAGGACTGTATTTTTCAGTACAGCAGTAAACAAATGAACATGGGAGGGTCAGAAAACACTAGTGTTGTGCAATGTTTGCATTATAATGGGCTGATTCATAGCTATGTGAATGCTTACAGACATACAAATAGCATGCAGATGAACCTAATAAAATTAGAGTAATAACAGGAATGACAGCCTCTCTGATAGGAAGAAAGACAAGTGTTCACAAGTGTCTGAAAGTGAACACATCTGTTCAGCAGTGTTCTTCCTATGCTAGAAATGAATGATGTTTAAGAGTTTGAGATTTAGCTTTTTTTTTTTAGATGAAGTGTTAGATTTTTCTGTCAAATGGCATTTTGGAGAACTCAAATAATTAGGTGCAGTGATAAATTCTTTCTTTTGTGGAATAAGCTTTTTATGTGGTTGGAGGTTCTTCTGGAAGCACAAGTTATTGTTGTTTTTTTATTACAAATCGAGGCAGTGGAGTTCACATAAATGTCTTAAAGAGAAACCTGAGAGCAAATACTGACACATCTGGATTTTGGAGGTAAATGTACAAAGAAGTATTTTTGAAAGTGCTCTGGAGACAGTAGATAATTAGTAGAGATTAAATCTCAATAGAAAAACTTCAAGCCTCCTAGTGCAGTCGGTAAATACTTTTACTCATTTTTTTTCACTGAGTTTCTTATGCCTTGAAAATTAGAATGGTTCCTTCTTCCAAAATCCAGGGGCATCTTTTCATTGTATTCACTTATTCAAATCTTCTGGGCATTTTTATCCATGTGAAATAATCTTTTCAACATCTATTATGCATTTTTAATTTTATACGAAGTATTGTTTGAATTTCTTTCAAGGCAGTAATATTAAAGATTAGTCAATTTATGCTTCTTGGTGGCCCTGCCTGTGACAAGGGGATTGGAATTTGATGGTCCTTGGGGGTCCCTTCCAACCCAAGTCATTCTATGGTTCTATGATTTAAAGAAGTAGACTTAATTGGGAGAATGGGAAAAATCAGCATTATCTGATGTTAAGACTGTAGTGATTTACAATAGCTTGATATTGGATTGTTTTTATCTTCAGCTAACATTTCTTATAATAATAGCAGCCAAGGAAGCCTAGCCAATGTTTTGTATTTGAAAACTGATAGCATAAAAATGTTGTACCTGGGCTTGCACAAAAATTGTCTTGATAATAACTCAGTAAGCACTGCATGGAATAAAGTAGAGGTGTTAGCTCTCCTGGAGCACCTTCCTGCACAAATGCTGAAGGCTATTGATGGGAAAGCTGCCGAGCTGGTCTTCCTTCTGTTCTGGTCTCATCTCTGTCAGTGACTTGTACTTCCAGTGGATGGCCCTTTGCATTGAAACTTTCTGTTTAGAAAAACAGGGATCCTGCTGTTTTGATAGTCACCACAGTCTAGCCTCTGCTTAAAATTATAGAAGTGCTTAAGGGCTTTTGCTGAGAAAGGGCAGCTCTCTGAAGAAGGTGCAATCGCCTCAAGCTGTTTTACTAACACTGCTCATAGAGTCTGATGTATGTTATTTCCAATTTAACCTAGCCATTAAATTCATCACAGGATATGTGTCATAGAATCATAGAATTGCCCAGGTTGGAAAAGATCTTAAAGATCATCGAGGCCAACTGCAACCATACTACCCTAACTCTAACTATCCTCCGCTCAGTCATGTCCCTGAGCACCACATCCAAATGGTTTTTAGACACATCCAGGGATGGTGACTCAGCCACCTCCCTGAGGAGCCTGTTCCAGTGCTTAACCACCCTTTCTGTGAAGAAGTTTTTCCTGATATTCAACCTGAACCTCCTCTGGTGCAACTTGAGGCTGTTTCCCCTCATCCTGTCAGCAGTGAGAAGAGACCAACCCAGCTCTCGCTGTAAGCACGTTTCAGATATTGGAAGAGAGCTGTAAGGTCTCCCCTCAGCCTCCACTTCCCCAGGCTAATCAGTCCCAGTTCCTTCATTCTCTCCTCATAGGGGCATATTCTCCAAGCCCTTCACAAGGCTTGTTGCCTTTCTTTGGACCTGCTCCAGCACCTCAGTGTCCTTTCTGAATTGAGGTGCCCAATACTGAACACAGCACTCGATGTGGGGCCTCACCAGTGCTGAGTACAGGAGCAGGATTCCTTCCCTAGTCCTGCTCAGCACACCATTCCTGATCCAAGCCAGGATGCCATGATGTGGTGAGCAGGACTAGGGAAGTAATGTATGTTAGAGAAAACCAAACTGGGACGTAATTTCAGCTCACAAAAGCTGGATTCAGTTGAAGGCTGAACATGCGCTGAATGAGGCTGAACTAGATGATCCCCTGAGGTATCTTCCAGCCTGAATTATTCTATGGTTCAGTGATTTCATCCCAAACTCAGTATAGATCCTCTGAGGTCATTACTTTCTATGTGAAGAGGGCACGACCTTTTGACAGAGGCAGCTTTAGCACTACTTATCACGCCATCAAAGATGAATGTTTTAATCTGATAACCTATCCAACAATTTTCAACTTCAGAATGTGTTGTTAGTGACATGAGTGATGTAAAATCCATTGCATCTTTCTAAGATCATGAATGTTGTCTGTCTGTGTAATACTATAAACTCTTAATTTCCTCTAGAGATCCCTGAAGACCCGCAAATTGCAGAAGAATATTATAATGAAGAGTTTGAATCCTATTCAGAAGACAGCGAAACAGAGGATGTTGCATTGTCACAGACTGTATCTAAAACAAATCAGGTATGTGTTACCTTTGGGGAAACAGTACACATTTGATGCTTTCTTAGGGAAAATGAAACCCCTTCCAAGATTTTGTCCTTTTGATATTACTGAAATTTGCTTTTGTTAGCAATATGTGCCTATATCAGCATCATGAATTAGTTATAGGAGTATGTCTCAATTATACATATGCATTTCTTCAAGATTAGGAATCATACTCCCATGAATGCCTTAAAGTGGATTGCTATTAGTAAACTTTCCTGTAGCCATAAACACAGAGTGGGGTTCTCTCATGTAACATTAGTTATACCTAAGTCGAGTTGAAGCTGAAAGAATACTTCAAACACAGGATCTGAATTCCAGGTCTAATTCCTGGGGAAAGACTGGCACCTCTAGATGCGCCATCTTGTCTGTATTAATCATATTCTAGTGTAGTATGATAACTGTGAGCATTAACAACAGCAAGTTGTTAATCAGCACATCTGTAAAATTTCCCCAGAATCTTAGAAAGCGTCAATGAAAAGAAAATTTATTATTGAAGGACTTAAAGTAGCTTTATCAGGTAAGGTTGCCACAAGAAACTCTCAGTTTGAAGGTTGAGGATTATTGGAAAAGGCACCTAATTTAGGTCTGATCAGAAGGAACTGCAATGAATCCTGTCTTCAGTGATCAAGTCTCAGTGAAATCGATGAACTTAAATGGCCAAGTCAGTTCTGAAAATGGATCTTCCTAAGGTATTCAGGAACAATTATTTTCCACCCTGGGCCATCAACTTAAAACGTTTTGCTGCAATGCTTCTGGACAGTACTGTCTGGTTTTGCTTAGGATGACAAATGTTATGTGGAGTTAATGTGCAGAATCTGCAGAGTAGAGTATGACGCCATTTACATTCTAGGAAATCAACCAAGTTTGCTAAAACTCTTCATTAAATTATGAATAACTTTAATATTCTTTGAAATTTTTGAATTAATAGGTTCTTTAAGATGTAGTCTTTAAGGCAGAAATTAAGTACCTGCGTGAGAAATTGGAATGCTACTTTTGCCACAGTGGCTGGGAATCCTGAAATTCTCTCAACCAGTTAAACTTGAAGTTTTCTCGTAAACACCTCATTCAATCTAGAAATGTCCTCTTAGCTTTCAAACTAAACACGTAGCAGTTTCTAATGGCGAATTCAACAGTGGTCTAAAGAAATAGTTGGAAACCAGTGGAATATGTGAGTCAATGCTTTGTTGTTGCAATTTGTTGTCTATGTTTACTCACAACACTCAAAAATACAAAAACTCTGTTGCTTGAAAAATCTACCATAGTGGAATTTTAAAAATAAATTATTGTTCACTTTTATCAGACTTGAAGTGTTGGTTTTTTTCATTTTTCTCTTTTAGAAAGCCTGTCAACATTTTCATTCAACTTTCATTGACAATATCATTAAGCGTCAATCAATACTGTTTTGGAACAGGCAGATTGCTGCTTAGAATTAACAAAGGGCAGAAGATAAAAATAGATTTCTCAATAAAGCAGAATAAATTGGGTGTTGGCAGCCAGGTTTGAGCAATGTCATTCAGTCATTTTGTAGTGATTCAGAATTTAGTGGTGACAAGAAATTGATGCTAGGTTGGAAGAGCTGTCCCACTGATGTCTCTTGTCAGGATCCAGCCCCTCCAGGCTGTGTGGCTTTGTTTTATCGCAGTTTGTGTGCATGCCATGCATTGGTCCTCTGCAAATTGGCTTCCCCAGGCTGAGTTGGAAAGCACACCCTCTCAGAGCATTTGTCTCTCATGACTTTTTATCAAAGAGGCAAATAGCCTGACTTTATTTTCCTTCCTATTGACCAGCACCTTATATAAGGCAAAACTGTCTTTTTGGGTATTGACGCAATCACCTTTTCTTGTTCTTAGTAGTTGAGAAGAATTTTCTCTTTTCCTGCACAATTTTTTACTCAAGAAAGGGAAGTGTGAAGACAAAGCAGGTTGGACTTAGCTGTATGCCCATGTCTGACCTAACTGGATATAAACTCTGTACAGTTAGGAGGAATACACATTTTTAGGGAATAATTTTATTAATAATTTGGCAAAAACACCTAATGTGTGGGTCAGATAGAATATGCTGAGAGGTACCTCTTTCTCTCTGGTGATTGTAAAGAGATCCACAGTTATTAGCATACATGGGGCATCTTCGTTCTGGATGTCAGCAGTTACGTGAGATGAATCCCACTCAAAGGTAGGTGGTATCATGCTCAACTTTAGTAATAAGCTTCAAATCCTACCAGAATAGACTTGATCTTGCTAGTATATAGCAGGGCATTGCTTCAGCAGTCATCTACTTAATACCAAAACTCCCACTCCTATTTCTATGATAGGATTCAAACTCTTTAACTCTTTCTTCAAAAATACCTATACAAATTAAGCTTTTGAAAGTCAATGCATTATAATACAGGACAAGGACCTGTAAGGCATTTACCTTCTTAATCATTGCTAACGTCTCAATTATCCAGTGTCAAGATTGCTTTACTCATTAATTTTGTGCAGATAGAGTACAGAAATGCTATGTCTGGCAGTGCTTCATGGTGACCCCATTATTTACTTCAACCAAAAACTAAAAGAAAAATGTCTGATATTTGTGCAGAAGTTCAAGTAGCAGTAGGGGGTCAGACAAGTAATCTAATTGAATAACACATTGGGATGCATGATGTTGAAAGGGGTTGATGCTCTTAATTCCTGCTATGTTAGACTCCCACAGACGTCATGATAGTTGGAGTAGTGGCCTTATGAAATGATACCTTTCATACAGGAAGGTAGAGTCAGGCACTCAATCAGTATAATTGAGAGTTTTAGGATGGGAGCTGAGATGTCTACTTTGTATTTATTGGTAACTTTTGATACAGTTTGTGTGATCTCAGCTGCACTGTCTGCTTGTAGATGTGGAATTTTCACCAGTGTTAAGCCCTCACACATGTGAACATCTCATCTTGGTTGTGTTGGTTGTAACACTGGAGTTCAGTGTCCTTTTTCCTTTTCTTTTGCAATTTATATGCAGATTGCCAGATTTCAAGCAAAAATTTGTCAGTTATGTTTCCAGATCTCTAGCTTCTTGAGTTAGTGGCTCTTTTCCACTTTTTAATTATTTGGGTTTTTTGGGAGTGTTTCTAATTGCATGAGAAACAACGTGAAAGAGAATAAGAAACTATATCTAAAAATAAATTGGAAAATATGAAACATAGGAGTTTCATTTTGAGAAGTTAGCAAACCATGAAAGTTTCACATTTGCTTTTATTTAGCTGAGATGCTTTTTACTGCAGTTTATCACTTTGATCTTTGTTTTCTTTTAGTGATAATATTAATAGCAAATTAGCCATCTTCATTATTAGAAAGTCTAGTAATACAGTACATTAGCTCAGTATTTTCAGTTTCCAGGTTGCTCCTGAGATCATCAAGCCAGATAATCAACTGGCATAAATTATTGTAGCTCCAGTAATATAGTATAAATTATCATCACATCTCCAGTGAATTATAGATCCAGTGGATCAGTCTGTGCATTATTACCCCAAAGCTGTTCCACTAGGTTCCTAGTGGCTGACATGGCATCCTTAGTCTCGCCCCTTGCTGTTAAAAATGATTTCATTCATTCTGAGTTTGAAACATCCAAGCATTCATCCTTGTTGCCTCTTAAGTGCATGAGTGCTTCTCTTCTGTGCTTCTGTCAAATTCCCTTTCCTATTCTGTAGGCTTTTTAAAACCACAGGCTTCTCAATACCTTTGGATTTTTCAGTGAGGTCAAATTTTTGATGTTCATTTTTAAATAGTGACGGGATGCCGTGTTGTCACCCTGTTGTCACATGAGGTGCGATAACAGCTTTTAAAAACTCAGGTTTTTCTCTTACATTCAAATGAAATGTGATGTGCTTCCTAGAGCACAATATTTTCTTAATGGTCAGATCTTAAATTTCTTCAATGTACATGAATGACGTTTCACATGAAAGATATCATGGCAAAACTGTTAATTATCTGTCTTGTAACAGAAAACTTAAAATAGAAAAGTGCTAAAATCATTCCCTAATTAAAGTTTCAATTATTCATGGTTAGAAGATGTGTAAGTAGGTGCAATTACATGAAACGTAAGTATTACTTTGTAGTGGTAAATGTAAGTCTTAAGAAATTTTGGAATGTTATGAAATCTATACTTTCCTTTTCTAATCCTGTTGTAGATATTTCAAGGATAACCAATAATAAAATGCTGGTGTATTTTCAAATATTGCACACCAACCTCAGCAATAAACATTCTTTAAGCTACATGCATAACTGTCCTACATGATTGTGTTCTGCTAGACATCTGACTTAAATAATTGTTTTTACATAACTCCATTCCCAAACCTACTGTTTTAGAGGAAGAAAATATTTATGAAGTTGTGAGAAATGTATTTATCTTGTTGTAGTCTAGCACTGACACTCTTTGGTGTAAGTAATATTCTTTGTTTGTAGGATTGTACCTCTGGTACACTATTTTTTTATTTAGGATTTTGGTCACACTAATGCTCTTCGTTATTTCGTTTATCCTCAGGACAGTGATATTGAAGCAATGGTCAAGCATTTGGAGAGCATCCTAAATAATAGCTCATTGGGTAAGATGATATTTCTTCTTTAAATGTAATATCAGCAGTTATTAAATATTCTTATTCATCACATTCCCATTTTGCAAAAAAAAAAAATCTCAAAAGTTATCTTTCTGAAAATTGCATTCTTAATCTACTACTACTACTAAGATAAAATGAATTTTTAGAAGTTTGTTATTGTTTTTAAACAAAAAAGGATGATCCAGATTTGGATAACGTATATTCTACCTTACATTATTCCAGTACAGGCATAGGAAAATCACTGAGCATTTCAGTTTGCAATTTAATCCTAAAGTCTCCTGCAAATTCTCTCTATAAATCTAGACTAGTTTCAAACTATTTCTCATACTCTACTTAAAAGCTAAAAAGAAGCTATAAGTAAAAGATGGCTATCTACTGGAGCTGGTGTGGCCACTGGAAGACTAGAAGTTAAGCTGTGCCAGTAGCAGTCTGTGGGTGGGTAGCCTTGATTTGGTGCCTCATTTATACTCAGTCATGATAAACTTGTGACTTTGAAATGAGAAGATAGGGGAAGCTTGGGATATTCTCCTTGCAATGATTCCTTCATTGTTGAGCTCTGCTTCACCCCAACTCATGAGCATGGAATGACAGCAGAGAAAAGTTAAGAAGAAAAAGAATATAAGGGAGTAGTCAAAGTATGGGCATCACACTCACATTCGCCCTCTGACCACCTTTAGAGTTCCATGTCAGGGTGATCTTTGACTGAATGAAAGCCTGTTATCATGTGTTTTGCCTTCACATTAATAGATCCCATGGCTTTCAAATTTTGCACTTGTTTATCCCTGTTGTCTGCAGGAGGTTTACAGAAGTGGAAATGGGAACAAAATGTTGCTCTATACTTCAATAATTTGTTTTCTTAATGCAAGAGAGGAATTGCCCTAAAGGCTTCTGGGAATAATTCAGAGCATTGCCCAAAGCCAAACAATGACATTCTTTGAAAAATAAATCTTAGTTTTAAAGAGTTTCTTGGCTTCCTCTTTTTCTTTCAATGTAAAGAAAAAGATGCCTTTTAAAATTATGATATTAAAGAATTAAATTATGATTTAATAATTAAAAATCATCTGACCACTCTGTGCTGAAACTTAAAGCCTTTCTCAAAGCTGAGCTAGCAATTAGGTTTGCATCATCTGTTCCAAACAAATACCTGTGATAATAATATGAGAGAGATCTGCTAGGGTCCCTTTTATCTTTGTATGCTCAGTATTGCTGAAGAGCTTTGAATACTTACTCTTCTTTCAATGTCAAGCTACAAAGCTGGACGGAGTGCAAACTATCTTTAAAATAATCTTAATCTATATCCCATCTTGTTAATAGTCCTGGCTCACAGATTCTGGCTAAGCTGCACGTTATTTTTTTATGTCAGGATGTAAAACCTAGAAGCATTGTGCTTATTAACCAGAAATGCTTGTATCATATTGTTTGGTTGGTTTGATGGTTTTTGTTTTTGTCTTTTCTTCACATTCTCACTGCAATTTAATCCTTTTTCATTAAAAAAGAAAATCAATTTATGATATGAAAAGATATTTCAGTTGCGTTGTTACAGGGAACTCTTAAAAATGCATGGTGACAATTTTCTTAACAATCAAATCAAATAATTGTTACTCCAGGTCCAATAATTACAGAAAAGAGAGAACAAATCATTACATCTGTTAAAAAAAAAAAAAAAGCTCTGCGTAGTAATGTAGTTAATATTTTATCCATGCATCTTGTAAGTCCTGCTTTGTCTGGTGTTGTGTTCACCTTCCTGCCAGTACTAATGCTGGTAACTTCAGCCTAGCATGACAGGGGATGTGTTAAGCCCTCAGCACATGCAATCCTTCATCAGGAATGCTTCTTCCTCACTCTAGAATCCACTTGGGAGAGTTTTCTTGTTTGCTACCATTGCTTTTCCTTCACTGGTCCACAAATTCATGTCATATCAAAAACGTTATGTGCATTTTACATAAGCTGGATGTTTTCTGTGTTAACCCTAAGTGCTAAAGCTAGTTTCACCCATTTCCAGGTCTGCATTTCTTTAACAAGTAGAAAATTGTAGAGATGGGATCCCCAGTGCTGGCTTATGCCTCACCTCTTACAGTTCCTTGCCCATAGCCTCATCTTAAGTCTCCACTTCTCGAAGTTTCTGCTAATGTATTGGGCAGATTCCACATAAGTAACTAATGGTTTCTACTATCTGTCTAAAAAGTCTGGTTGTAGAAAAAAACAGCTAGGTTGTAGATGTCCCCTCCTTGGAAGTGTTCAAGGCCAGGCTGAATGGGGCTTTGAGCAACTTGTTTGAGCAACCCTCTGTTACAGGAGGTGTCCCGCCCTATAGCAAGGGTTTGGAACTAGATGATCTTAAAGACCCCTTCCAACCCAAACCATTCTATGGTTTTGTGATTCTAAGAATACAACGATAGGTGGAAATAAAACCAGTAGCCCCAAGGTACTTAGAAGAACTGCAGTTACAATTTTATCTATTAAAATGAAGCTCCAGCTGGGCAAAACCTGACAGACCTCAGTGCTGAAGTCTTGCAAACCCAGACCCAAGCCTGTGGGCTGGCACTAGCACTGGCAGTGCCATGTTGCTGGGCTGCAGACCTGCAACGTTACTGTAATAACTGCTCCTTAAAACAGTAGGAATTTTATGGCAGTAATAGGGTGAATGCAGAAGTTTGACTGGTCTGAATTTCTCCTAGCATTTTTCATTGTTAAAGGAATCTTAAAAAAAAAAAAAAGTACAATTTCAAGCACAATTCCAAGCATATCTTAGAGAACATCTGAGTAAAGATGGAACTTTTTTTAATGTCAGCAAGGGTTGTGATGAAAATGATGCAATAAGATTGCATTGTTTTTGCATTTATGGTGTTTCTTTTGTATAAAAACTCAGGGGTAAAGGGTAAAATCCTGAGACTTTCTGAATTAACTGAGTTTTCTCCTTACAGTTTTCCAGTAAATCACTGAGAATATCTGTGCTTCAGTACTATGTAACCTTCACTTGGGGTTGACTTTGCAGCTCTGTGTAGTTGATTTGAGATAAAATAATGCATGCTAGTGAAGCATGAAAAATGGAGTACAGACAAGAAAGGAGCTACAAAATGAAAGGAAGTTTGAAAAACTACCTCAAAGGTTTACTGAGTCATCTTAGATTAAGCAAAGGGAAGGCTAGAGGCAATTTGGTCAGTTTGTATTTTTAAAACATTATAAACTCAGGAAAATACCTGTGATTCTGGGGAGCTTTTCAGTCTTAGAGAAAAAGGCACTGGGGGATCTCATATGTAGAAATGAAGGCTGAAAAAGCAGATCCAAAACAGTAGTCTATGATTCAGTAGAAATAATTGTTTCTTAACACATAATGAATTATCAAGAGATGCAATAGATGTCTAACAACAGTACTTGGGGTTTTAGCAGAAATGTAGGTATGAATTCCTTTAATACATAATGTACAGATGTCTCATCAGCTAATCATAATCATCTTTTTTTACTGTAAGTATCTATGAGTAAATGTGAGCAGAGTATTTCGTTCATCTTTTTTTCCCCTTTGACAGAGTGAGAAGGATGCAGTGAGTGCAACAAAACTGATACTCCATGACCCAAGAGGACAATTTTGCCTCTTGTTTTCTGCTAGAGACTGGAAGACTATTCATCTTTAAAATGTATTTGGGAAGTGAAAGTACTCAGCTTTGAAAAGTCACTTTTTGTTTTTTTCACTTGACTTAGTTTAACTAATCAACAATGGTAAATTGCTTAACAATGCAAATAGTTACTTGGCCACCTTTTGAAGAAGCATAGTTATTTGTTCTGTAGATGTATGGGTAGGCAGAGTGTTGCAAGTTGGGAAGCTGGGTGCAAAATATATTACTAATCAAGTAACTGCTTCTAAGAAAATCCCTGTGATTTAGAATTTGGTGTGGGTTATGAATCACTCTAGGAAAAGTTTTGAGGCTTTTCATAGTAACACTGTGAAAAGCTGTTAGTGGATTTCACTGAGAGCTCTTTTTTTCATGAGTAGCTGTACCTTTACAGCATCCTACAATCTATAGTCCTCGCAGCTGCTTCACAGTACTCAAAAGATCATATCTAATGGAGAGGAAGATAGATATTAGTTTGTGTTTAAAGAGGAAGCACTTCTTGGCCAACTGCTAGTGTTGAAAGTAGGCAAAGTAAGAATTATTTAGACTGGAATCCTAGAAAAAAACAACCAAGAAGAATGCCTTTAATAATGAAATGTCAGAAGAAAGGGAGATAAAGTATTGTAGCAATAAATAGACTGAACCCATTAAATAGTTTGCTGTGCTCTTACCACGATGATATATCCTGTAATAATAAAAAATCAGAATTTAGCTGGGACCTGTGGTTAAATGTACTCAGTCTTGAAAGAATGCAAGGTTTACATTTTCTTTAGACCACTTGTGCTCAGAGCAGGAAAAAAAAGTAATTGTTTTTGAAGTCTGACAATGAGATCAAAGCCCTGGACCCTAATTCCCTACCAACCCAAAGAGGAGTGAGCCACCTAGTAAGTCATAAGCATTGCTTCACAGCACTTGGATCATCCTCAAGTCCACTCTGAATACCTGAATTCTTCGGTGCTGCTGAAGTAATTGAATGCTTAGAGATCACATGATACATAGGATAAAATAGATGGATATATATGTGTAATCTTAAAGTGAATCATCAGGATTTTTTTTCAGTGTATGAAATTATTGGTTGCTAGTGAGAAATGAGCTTGTAAATTTTCATCTTATAAACTGTTAACTGTATCTCAATTTTAATATGTAGGCACCAGATAACTGTTGGCCATTAGATGGCAAGAGAAGTTTGAAATCTTTTTTAAACGGTCAAATGGCTTGTCCATATTCAGAGAATGAAGTCAGTGATCCATTTCTTCTTTCATCTATCTCCATGACTGCTTCCTATGTTCAGCTGCAAAGCCCTGAATCTGGGAGATGCTCAGATGCTCATTGTGAACAATTCAGCTGAATCCTTCATGGTAGAAAATTTACTCTCAGTATTCAAATTTATGATCAGGATCATGTAAGTCATAGGAGCCTAACTCCTGGAGAAGTCATGATTATGCATTCAGGAGAGAAGCGTTCTGTACTGTCTAGCAGTGTCTATACTGCTCAGAGCAGAAGAGTAGCTGAATGCTCCTTCTGGCTGTACATGATCAATGCTAATGTAATCCAAGCTAAAACCCAGCGAAGTCCAAGTTAAAAACACCTGCTTGAAGAGGAAATTGTGTTTATGTAGCCAAGACATTACATTAACTTCTTTGTGTGTCTTATTCATGTCCTGTGCAGAACCCTGTTGTGGCTGTTCAGAACATAGGTGCTGTGTACCACGGCCCCTGGATTTACAGAGGAGAAGTTCCACCATGATATACATTCTCCTCTGTGGGGAATTGGAATCCTAATGCCAAATAGTTTTGCAGGAAAGAACTAAAATATCTGCTTTGTTTAGGTGAAAGCAAAATATTTTTTTCTCCCTCAGTTACAAATAAATGAGAGGAGTATGCAAAAGTAAAGGGAAGAACTGAGTAAGCCAAAAAGAGGGACTAACACAGGAGAATAATGGGAACAAACTGGCAAATAAAGAAACTTTGTCTGGAAATCAGAGGGGATTTTAGCCAGCAGGTCACAGTGTGGCTCTGGACTTGTCTTCCAGTGGGAGCAGTAGAAGCAATAAGTAAATAAATCACTAACTTGAACCTGAGGGCTTGTCAGAAGTTGGGCAGGGGCTTGTGTGATGCAGTGGCAACATAAAATTGTGGGATGTTTGAACTGACAACTCTGGCAGTCTTCTGTGATTCAGCAGTGCTGGTCTTAGGTCATCAAATATTTTAACAGCACATGAACAATGTGAACAGGAAGTGTGTGTGTGTGAGCATTTGCATATGATATGCATATATATATGTAGTCACAGATATACTTCCATGGAGTACTTTCATCTGAAGAGGAAAGCAATGCCATAAGTCAGTTTACTGTCTAATTGGTAAAACACTGTGAGTTTACAGAATGAGTAAAAGGAGAGATTTACCTGTTAGGAAAAGCGTTTCTGCTCTTTCTTACAACTAAGTGCGAGAACAATGTAAGAAAAATATTGTCCAAGTAAATTTCATTTTGTTGAATATTTGTCTGTCCCAGTATTTCCTTAGTAACTGTCCTTTCTACTGTAATAGAATAATTCCTTCACAGCAGGAAAATTCATGTTACAATTCTGGTGCTTTTGAGATATAAATCTACATGTCACTGCAAAAGGAGTTGTCCTTAATGTGTATTTAATAATCTAATTCTTCTATACCTAATATGGCACTACCTTGTGAGGAATAGGAGTAGTCTTCCTTCTTCCTCCTCCTGACTGCCCTTGTCTCTGAAATAATGCTCAGGGGATGAAGGTGAATGAGGTTGTATGTCTGTGCATTGATTTGTAGGTTCGGCAACTGTCACCAGCATGGCTTCAGGGGTGCCCAAGGGATTCAGAGCCCTCAACAACACTATGGCTGAGACCAAGTTGAACCGCATGAGGGAGTAAGTAACATATTTGTGTGTTGCCAATATCTAGGCAAAGATGCATTTGAAAAATGGCAGAAGGTAAACAAAACTGTGTTGCCTCCCCACCCCAAAAAATCCCTAACATGCTAAGGTATTTTTTACAAACTGGATACCTACTTGCCTGCACAGATGTTGAAGTTTGACAGTCAGTTCTGATTGTTTTCTTGTAATCTGCACTATCACTGTCATCTTTTCCAAGATCTAGTTTGTTTTTGCTGCTGTCTGGGTCACTGAGCTGCAGATCTTCATGTTCCCACCATGTTTGCTCCCTCACCTGCACTTCATTTTAGCATGGAAAAAAAGATTAAAATTTGTTTCCTATAGTGATACGATGATTAAAACTAAATGTCATTGCTATTGCCATGAGTTTTCAAATGAGATAAGGGTTGCACAACTCCCTTTGAAACTCAGTTACTTTCACTATCATTAACCATCACCTGAACTAATAAAGATTTCAATGTCTTTATTAAAAAAAGATCTGTGCTTCCATTCTAAAGTGTACTGGTTGGCATATCTTGAGTTTCTTCCAGTAAAATGTCAGTAATTTGTGGCTTTCCAAGTTTTATTGCTCCCTAATCTAGGTACTGAACTGATAATCATTATACTATTTATTATTTCTGAACTCAGTTTTTCTCTACAGTATTGCAACATTCAAATGATTTTGGATTTTAAGCTCCTTAAAAGGCATTTCTATCTTGTATGAGTGGACAGTATCAGTGATATGGCGTATGTTACCAGAGTCCAGACTGTTAATGCTCCCATTTTTATGATTCCATTAAAGAAAACTAATGCAACTGTAACTGTATTGATGCAAATCACTGTTTGTAACACATCATGTGTACAATGTGCTGTATATTCATGAGAAATAATGTGATTTACTTCAGATAGAAGCTTCTCCATTTTATGATATTCTGATAAACAGCTGTTCCTTGGGTTTCACTTCACAGCTTAGTCCTTATTATGAAACTAATCAGCAGGTTTCACAGTATCTCGTCCTTTCCATTCTCTTTTAGTAGAAAGTACTTTTAAAAAAAACCACCCAAAATGCATCATGTTGCTCTGACTAGTTGCAAGGTGGGGTTGTTAGTCAAAATATCCACTGGTCTTCCAGCCTTTACCTTGTGTTCTTACAGTTACAGGATAAACCTTAACTATTTGAGCTTCATGGTCATTGTCTCTAGGGCTGAGGTGCAATTAAATCACTTCTTGAAAAGTCTGCTTTTCAGTGCTGTCTATTTTCACAGTTTGTTGGTTCTGATAGGATCAGCCTGTAATGGTGGTTAAATTGAAAAAATTGGAAGTGCTGTTGCATTGTCCTTTGGAAATAACACATCACAGTGTAGTTTATAAAACAGTCAAATGTTAATGAACAGCCTGATTAATTTCAGTATTTACATTCAATGCATTAGACCTCACTGTTTTGGAACAATTTCCTTGTCATCTAATTCCTGAATGAGAATGGTCAGCTGCCCAGTCGGCTGGCATCTTGAGAATAACCAGCAGACTGTATCTGTGAGCCATACTGTAAGCCATTTTAAAGTAAGAGTGATTAAGAGGAAAAACTGGAGGGGAGTGTTGCTTTGGTTTTGCTTGTTGTGGTTGTTTGGAAAATAAGGGTATAGATTCCCTCTTGTGAACTGTAATAAGTAGTTTAAAGAAGTCTGCCTGACTATGTACTCATGTTACTGTGCTTTCTCCTGAATGTAGTATGTAGACCATGTGATATCTGAATATCTAGATATCTAAGTATGTAAAGCATGTTCATTGCTTGGATTTCAGGGTGTTAAGGAGCAAGTAAGTGAGCACAGTACCCAGCATACACATGTAAAAGGAGACCCTTGCAAATTCTCACATACATGAGAGAATGCACATAGAGCACAGTGAGGGAGTTTTCAGAGGGGAGAAGGAAGTATACTTCAGAATGATGTGTGAAGCCTTATCTGCACTGTTCATCCATCAGCAAACTTCACGTGGTGTGCTGTACTTCTTTTTGTCAGTGCCAATTTCAGAAGTATCTGCTGTTATCTTGTGCACAGCCATATATATATATATATATATATATATATATATATTTTCATGTGAGGGGACATCATGAAGTTGTGCTAAAAGCCTTTACAGGAGTATAGAAGGAATAAGACATTGATATTCTGGAGTACTGTAGGTAGGTTTTTCTTTGTTTCCTATTTAACTTTTTTTTTTAAAAAAAAAAAAGCTTCACCTATAGACAGCTTGAGTCTGTTTATGTTTTAGTCACCAGCTTCCTTCACTATAGTCCCTGAATGTTTCCTCCAGTATCATCTTACCAATCCCATTGCGTTCCTCGTTTCAGCATTTTGAGTTGTTATCGTCTCAGTAAAAGCCATGATGAAGTCACCCAATCCAGTGACAACAATTTCTAGTTTATCATACTTGATATCAGGATTCATTATAAAGTTTATAGCAGCATAGATTTAGCTTTATCTTTCAAGTGGAGTTCATTCTGTCTGCAAGATTTCTACTTCAATGCTAGCACATTTAATATTAGGATCTTCTGAGGTGTTTATAAGAAAACTCAATTTCTTGAACTAGCTCCTGTGAAGGTTATCTGAGCTTTTTCTCATTATGGTTCTTCCCAGCTTTGCATCCTAACTGTAGGAAGTAAGCCAAGTATACAGAGTTCTGTGACTCATACAGTTTTTAGGTTTAGGAGCCTTGTTAGATATAGGAAACAGGAGTATTTTCTAACCTGGCCACACTCATTCTTATGGTTGTTGCTATCCCAGATGGTACTTCCTGCTGCAGTCTAAGAAGCTAAACTCTCACATGCTCTCTAGAGACAAATTGTCTTCACCAGGGAGAGAAATGAGGAAAGATGAATGGCAGTTTCAGAATGGCAGTTTCACTGATGCTACCCTATAGAGATTTTGCGGTTACACATCTCAGAAGAGAGCCATATTGTTCTTCAGAAAACCCCTGAAGCTAAAGCACTTTTTTCCATCTGATCAAATTGTTATACCAGCTGTAAGGTGGTTTTTTTTTTTTCTTTTTCCCCGCACTGATGTCCATAAAGCTTGTCAAAGCCTCCTTTACAAGATATCCAAAGCTTTGTCAGTGCTCATTACCTGAAAGATTGACGTTGTCCGTAGGGAAAACTTCAGAATAGTCATTGTAGCAAATGCTTGTTTTCTGCTTCTGAAAAACTTAGTAGATAGAACTGATGAACTGATGCCTTTCTTCAGCAGCACTGATAGCTGCTGTAGCCCTTAAGAAGCTATGGAGGTCAAAATCTACTTTAAAAGAGAGAGGCCCATCATGTTTAGATACGTAACTGGGAAAAAAAAGATTTTACGTGGGAAGTGTAGCGTCTCCCTTATGAGGAAAGGATGAGGAAGCTGGGTCTCTTTAGCTTGGAGAAGTGGAGACTGAGGAGTGACCTCATTCATGTTTATAAGTACATAAAGGAGGATGGAGCCAGGCTCTTCTCAGTGACATCCAATGATAGGACAAGGGGCAGTGGGTGCAAGCTGGAACTTAGGAGGTTCCACATAAATACAAGAAAAAACTTCTTCATGGTGAGGGTAGCAGAACACTGGAACAGACTTCTCAGAGAGGTTGTGGGGTCGTTTTCTCTGGAGATACTCAAAACCCGCCTGGACACATTCCTGTGTGGCCTGATCTTGGTGTCCCTGCTCCAGCAGGGGGATTGGACTAGATGGTCTTTCAAAGTCCCTTCCAACCACTGTGATTCTCTGATATCTCTTTTCATCTTGCTGTATCCTATTATGAGGCCCTTCTTTCCACATAGCTGACTATCTCAGATGGCTCTTCACAAGCTTATGGGAAGTCTTACGATGTGCTTGATCTGAAGTCACTACAGGGCTTCATGATCTAAAGGTGAGAAATAAGACAAGTGTTTACAGAAATTTATGGAAAAGAAAATGCCTTATTTGGTACTTTGGTGCTTGTATTCGCAATTGCACCTCCCTTTATTATGTAGTACATCCCAGCTGTCCAGTGAGGGGAAGCTTCCCTTTGAAACCTTCTCAACACTGTAGTGAAAGTTCATTTTTAGGCTTTGAAAAATGAGAATTTGTGTTTTACAGAGTAAGGCTATATTTTTTGTTTTTTTTTAATGTAATGTAATATCTATGGAATATAAGTTGTATTTTGTTCTCTCTGCACTTAAAATATAAAAAGAAATAAAAATGAAAAAAATGAGGAAAAAACTGTTAGTACAGAGTACTTTGTGCTCCTTTGAGGAGGTATCCATGAATACATACAATGAGTCATTTTAATAGCAGTGAACTTTAATACGCAATTTAGAATTCAATAAAATATATGTCAGTAAAAGGAAAAAGCTTTTATGCCCCAAATTTTAAATAAATTAAAATCCTTTAGCACAGCAGTAAGCACCTCTTAGTCAGTCCCTGAAGTCTTACACACAGCAGTCTGCCATGATCAGGCAAAAGACTTCATCATCACCTGCTGAGTGTAAGTGAAGCTGTCTTTCAGAAGTCATGGAGAAAAGGCATATAGTGATATTTTTCTTCTATTCTTGTGACTGCTCATAACGCTATTGGTTAAGACTCATGAAGAGTATGCATATATATTTTTGCTTGTGACATTGGCATCAAATATATAGTTCATCTTAAAAATTCATGAAGAAAGGTCATACTGAAGTGATTGAATGGGCACTGAATATCCTGTAACACTAGTAGTCCTAAAAGTGCCTGAAGTGCAGAAGACTGTGAACATTTATTTCTGCACATTTTTAAACTCTTCTTGTAAAGAGACTGGCTATTTGATTTAGTGATTTATTAGATGTTGGATGGGCTGACTCTGAGCCTACTGAAAATGAGTTTGTTATTGACATCATTGAGGGCATCTTTAGGTGAAGCCAAATGCAAGAAATATAGAAAATCTAACTGGAGTTTTAGACTTTGGAAAAAAAAAAAAAATCTGAGGCCTTTGGTTGCTATTAAATGTCGTGTTGAAAG